GGATTTCTGTGGTGTTGCCTGACTTCACTTTTTTTATATGGGAGGAGGCAAATGAGCATGCGGCTCATTTGATGGTATGTAATTACTGCCGCCCATGAACAACTGCAGTACCAGGGAAATTCATCTGCTGTGAGAAAGAAAATTTCTTTAAAATGATGATTATTATATTAGCTTTTCGGCGCGCCTCTAGCGTTCATATATTATTGTAGATTATAACTACTCATTTAGCATATAAACTACACTCATGAACAAATTTAGAGGAAAATTTAAAGGTTATTATTACCGTACATACTAGACACAGACATCAGTAAAAAAAAAAGTTTCCAATTTTTTTTTTTTCGAATTTCATTGCTTTTATGTAATTATTGCGTAATATTGAAGTATTCCTATTAGCCTTACCAAGTAATCTTACTAGTAAAACTACTTGGAACTTTCTTCTAAATGGTCTTACTGGTAAAATTATTGCGATTTCTTACCAAGTAGACCTAACTGGTAAGACCAATAAAAATAGAGGGAATTTTTCATCACTACCGTACTACGTTTTATATGGGGTATAAAAGTTTACATAAACGCAAAAGAGGCAGTGGAATAGTTCTCCAGACCGAAATTCGGTCACGGCATTCAGTGTCATTGGAGACTAGGTATTTGCGCAGGACAGAATTCAATGTCCGATTGTATGCTTGCGCATATTATTGCGCAACTATCTCACTCTCTTTCATGTTTATGCTCGCCTAGTATTTCTACTAATTATGAAAAAACAAACAGTCAAAATGAGTCCAAAAAACGTTTAAAAAATAAACTTAGTAGGTGTACGTAGTAATAAAAAAATCTCTATTTTATAGAATAGGACTATTGAGAATTTTCTTCCCCAGTGGTTTTTCCAGTTAGGTCTACTTGGTAAGACATCCCAATAATTTTACTTTTAAAAGTATTTGGTAAGACTTGGGAAGAAAATTTCTCAGTATTCTTACCAGTAAGACTACTTAATAAGGCTACTGGGAATATCACGTAATATTGCGTTCTTACATACTGCGAAAATATTTGCCAACTTTTGAATTTGAGCTTATTTAGGCTTAGGTTTTGTTTAAATATTTGCCTTGACTGCCTTGTTTATCGTGTTAAGTGTGAATTGTTACTGCAAGTAAACTGAGAATGCTAGATTCAGATCAAGTTGCTAGGATTGTTACTCGTACTTTAATTGTAACTGGACACACCTACAAATATGTAGCCCAAACATTACTAGTATCAAAATCTGTGGTACACCGAGTTTTCAAGAGGTATCGACATGCCGGACCGCCGGACAGTGACTACAGATCCGAGTGACCGATCATCGTTACCAGCACGCTTAGAAACAGGACCTTAGCGTCTTCTGAGGTAAGAACGAAGCTACAAGAAGTTCGAAGGCTTACAGTAAGCACAAAAACTGTGAAAAATGGACAGAAATCGGTCGGAATAAATTCACATTTGCATGGCTTCTTGCCACTTGCCAGCTCCAGTAATTTTGCTCGTAAATCGTAATCACGAAAATCGAATGTCAAAACTTGGAGTCAAGTTCTATTCAGAAAGTCTAGATTTTGCCTGAAACCAGATGATGGAAGGACTAAAGCGTGGAGACGTCCGGGAGGAAGGTACGCTCAGAGCAATATCATTGGAAAAGAGACGTATGGTGAAGGGTCAGTTTGGTATCGGGAGGTATTTGTATGAGGGCACGTACCAAACTCCGCGTCATTGAGATAGGGTCACTAAAGCGGCACGATAATATAAAACTGACATTTTGGAAGAAATTGTAGTGCCATTTGTCGCTTTAGTAGGAGATTATTTTTATACCTGACCTGATAATGCACGGCCCCATACAGCGGCCGCAGTTGTCGAATACCTTCGAGACGTTTAAGGTGATGTGGGCGCCAAAAGCAGATTTTTCACGCTTTATAGGCAATTAAAGCAATTTTTTGTCATTAAAAAGTACGAATCCACATTTTTTTTTTAAATTCATTATGAAATTTATAGATTTTCTTAGGAAATTATGTTGGCCAAAACACGATTGACACATTTTGGCTCGACAGAAAAGATCGCAAAGTTTCCTCAAAATCTACAATTTTAGGTACGTCCACTAAGTGAAAACGATGTTTCATTTGAATGCATTTGAATGCAATGAAATCAATTTCAATTAAATTCAGGCTATGTGTTCACCAGTAAATACGTTAGTGAATTATGGGTTTATTTTTCAGTAAAAGAGTACATATAATTTTAAAAAGAAATATCAAATAAATATTGTGCGATTAAGATCTTAAAACATATTACAGGAAGAATAAAACGCAACATTTCAAGATTTTATTGATAACTTGATTAGGAGAATGCCAAGCAGACTTGACGCAGTTCAAAGAGTTACAAACAAGTTTCTTTCCTGTAAAAATTTCCTTTTTTTTTCTTTTTTTTTTGTCATTTGATCGTTTCTTTTTTCTACAGTTGCAATATAAAATTAACTGATAATAAGCAAAATCAAATGAATAAAGTTAATTGTCACAAATATCCTTCATATTTTGTTTTGTACAGACTTTTTTGTTCCTCTAAATTGGTCCATGAGTTTAACCTAGTAGTTGCAAAATACGAATACTCTTAATAAGCGTGAATAAAAAATATGATAAGAGAGTAAGTGTGATATAGTAGTAATCAAATAACAGTCCAAAAACTTCCGCGCGCGACTTTTTTTAATCGTGCGCCACTGAGCACATCTAGTTATCCTTAAGGATAATCCGCCATTGTGTAAAACGCACAGTGGTGGACCGCGAATTATCCATTTGGTATGGATGGTATCGAAATACTATTTTTTTATTCCTCAGACATGCAGGTTTTCTCAATATATGTTTTATTCACCGCCCAGAACACGGTAAATCAACCTATTTGAGCAGCTCGGCCCGATCCCGGCAACACCAATGAAATTATTAATTGCAATTTTAAGTGCTGGTACACCGCGTCCCCGGCAGTAAAGGAAAACATCTTGAGAAAACCTGCTTGTTTGAAAATTAAAAAAACGAAGACATGTGAAGTCTATAGAGAAGCGTACCGGACACATGAGATGCAAAAGGCTGGTCGTGTTTTTGTTTTCTTTTTATTGCGTTCTTTGCTGCTGAACTTTATATTATGACTCATGGACGAAATACGCAGAAGTCTAAGAAGTCACAGTGTAAATTTTTTTCTAATATTTCTTAAAATATAATGGCCGTAAGAGCGTTGTAATGTAAAGTTTCGATGCGCGCAGAATATTTAAGTTAAACGTTTGTTTAAATGGCGCCGGTCTGTTAAAACATTATACGTGCAAAATGTGAGATGTTCTCTTTCAATTAAAATATTCAGTGCCTTTATATGTCCTACAGGTGGGCACAGGCTTCTTCACATTTTAGAGGAGTTTTTTGAACTGGGAAGAGTCTGCCAATTCACTTAAAAATTTAGATTTCCTTACGATGTTTTCCTTCACCACCAAATACGTGATAAATTAAATGTTTGAAGTAACTATTAACAATTCGTGCCTTCCGGCGGGCATCAAGCTTGGGTTGCTCGCATGCTGTGCGGCTTTGCTCCATGGAAAATTAGATTCATTAGCAAAAAATATATATTAATATTCCTATTTTATTGAATGTATAGACCCTCGTAAGAACTACAACTTTTTGATTTAAGCTTACATCACACAAATATACCATGGAAGTAAATACTTCTCTAATTATATCAAAATAATCCTGCGAGAAGTCATTACGAAAAGGCGACCCAAAGTTCTGATCTGTAGTAATCACAGAAGTCGTAATAATAAGACCATAGAAATATTTAGTGCTCGATTACTTCCGAAACCAATGTCACCACATCTTACCGTATTATAAACATACACAATGCACAATGATATCTAATGTTCACATTACATTGCTTGACCAATTTGTCAACGTCGCGTGTGTTGTGTATTACGGTAGAACCAAAGCAGCAATGGTAATTGTACAATACGAAAAGTAATAAATGAGTTTGCAAAGGTAAATGTCATAGTTATTATATAGTATTATATTATTAATCATAGTATTCATCCAGATGTAAATAAATTTAAACAATGATAATTAGTAAATAATCAACTTACTGATGAAATGTTATGCCTTTATTAGTTTAATTACACGTCCTTGATGAGATTTTACAACTGATTATGCTGCAGTGCACCATTATAAATTTAGAATAACAAAAATTCACGTACGACGTTCCCCGCACAACTTACTCACAAAATGGTGAATCATGTTCGTTAACCCATATAAGCGGCGATAAGGTTACACGTGTATGCGATATCTATTGTCTTATAATTACGATTTCTGTGGTAGTAACCAACACGTATAACTCCTAAAAAAGTATAAATATTTTAAGGTACAATCCCCCAAAAAAATTTCAAATATTTTACTTTTTAACTGTGCGAGCAAGTACTCCTAATCGTACGTAAGATAGCTACAGTCAATATAAAGCGCGTCGTCGACCGCACTGCCGTGCAAATCCAAAAGACTGTAAGTCGACTTACAGTGTTTTTGCTCAACAACGCCCAATCAGTTTCTGTAGGTCTGTTTAGTACCCCTGACCAATATTTTTGTCATTTAAACGTATATTTTGCAGGATAGGGCAAGCTAAAAAACACTGTATAACGTTCAAATTAAGGTTTAACCATGCTGGAAAACTGTAACAAAGCTTACAGTATTTTGCCGTAACAAACTACGCGCACTGCTGGAGATACAGTGTTTTAAACTGACGCGTATACTCGCACGTTGATATTGTCCCGCCAGCGTAATATGATCTATAAACATGAATGCTATCTCGCTCTTTCGCATCGTTATAGAGGCCCCCGCCTTCTCTGCAAGTTTAAAGACGGTTCAGTTTACGTGTGACGCGCAGTGAAACCGGTGATTATGTGAATTATTTTGTACCTACCCTGTGATCGCCTGTCGTATTTTATTTAATTACCGTGATTTTGTATTAATTTAACGATGAATACGAGTCGAAGTAAAATGCTAGTTAGATTGTCAAAACAAAATATTAAACATTATAATAACACAGACTCAGTTACTGTTGTGTCCAATGTGATAAATGACTGTATAGAAAAAGAAAATAGAAACCGCAATAATCACAATGAGTATGAAAATTACCTTCAAGATGATTTAGGATCAAGAAACTTTATAAGTCCTATCATTCCATTAAGTGAGTCTCAACTTAATGAATGCATTTCAGAAGAATTAGGAGAAAGAGTTTACGCCCAACTGGTACCGGCATTAATTTGTGATAAGAATTTAGACGTCTCAAATATTTCCACAGAAGATTTTCACCAATTTCGCATATTCATGTTAATAGCGTTCAATCTAATTTATATTGTGATCTTACGTCTAAAACAAAAATCCAGTCAATAAAGAACCAAGAACACATTGCTACTGGATCGATAAATAATTTAGATGAAGATGATTTCGATATTTTGAATCTTTTGACTGTGACACAAAACATAATATCTACTGAATTATCGACTGAAATGCAACCAGCACCTTGTTTAGCACATTCTTCACCACCTTCAGTTTCGCCAAAGCCGTCTACTTCCTTAGTTCCTGTAAGTCCTATTGCACATATTGAAACAGAACTACTGACAAGAAAAAAAAACGTAGCTTCCTTGAAGAATCCACCGCCATTGATAAACCTGCCGTCGAAGATAACTGTCAAACACCAAAGAAACCTAAGCGCAATAGAGACCCAGCAGCTATATTTGAGACACAAAGATTAAGACATCCATTGTTGCCACCTTGTTCATGTAAACAAAACAGTGCATTCAAAAGATTTCCGAGACTGAAAGGCAGTCTATTTGGACACAATTTTGGAACTTGGACCGGCAACAGCGCCGCGACTTTATATCAAGAATTGTTGATAAGCTATCTACCGCATGCACTAAAACAAAAGGTGATTCTCGAAGGCATAACACACTAAAATGGTCCCTAAATGATGTCAATGTATGCAAGTTTTTTTTTCTTAGGACCTTGGGATATACAAACGATGAAGCTGTGCAATCAGTCTTGAAAAATAACTATCTAGAGAGTAATAAAAATCCGAAGATAAGCGCTACACCCGATCTTCGAGGACGTCGATATGCACCATCTAACAAGTTTCCACCGGAGTATGAAAAACGATTAGAAGAATTTATTATGAAATACAACCCTGTTCCATCACATTACAACATTAGCCATGCGCCGAACCGAAAGTATTTGCCTATAGGTATAAACTTTTCCACTATATATAAGGATTTTAAACGATATTGCCAAGAAAATAATACGACGATTTGTGGTTGGACTCATTTTCATACTATGATAAAAAAATTGAATCTCTCAACAGCAGGATTACCTCAAGATATGTGCACTAAATGTAAAAATCATAAAATAGCTTATGAGATACTATTCTTGTACTGTGAAGAGTGTAAAATGATAGGCCAACACTTAGAAAATAAACGCAATTCACGAAGATATTTAAGTTTAGCAGAAGATCGAAGTAATAATTCGGAAGGAAAGGAAGCTATGTTCACCGTCGACATGCAAAAAGCTATATGCATGCCACTTCTTAGAACGAAAGATTATTATTTTTCAAGAAAACTTGTTCTATTTAACGAGTCATTTGTGCCGCCTGGTAAAAATAAAAATGCTGTATGCATCCTGTGGCATGAAGGCGAAAGCGGCAGGAAAGCTTACAACATAGCAACCACATATGTTCATTTCATAAGAAAATATTGCAGGGACCTACACCATTTAAACTTCTTTTTGGACAATTGCAATGCTCAAAATAAAAACAAAATTCTTTTTTCTGCATTAGTCAGAGTTGTAAACGATAGAAAAACTGATATTCAAACATTAAAATTAGAATATTTTGAACCGGGCCATACATTTATGGCTGCGGATGCAGTTCACGCTGCTATAACAAAAAAATTGAAAACATCAGGTGATGTTTATGACATTGAATTTTCGTTACAAATATCAAGGAGTCAAGAAAAAACCTTGATGTCGACGTGCTCCAGCACAAAGATATGGTACTTTTTACGAATGACTGTAAAACTTACACTTCCAAAAGACTGGAACATCCAAAATTTAAAAATTATTGAGTTTCGAAGAGGTAAACTCTCCATGTTTGCCAAAAATGATTACAATGGGGAATTTAAAGAACTAAATATTTTAAAGAAAAAGGTTGAAAGAGATTTAAGAAAGAAAATGGGTGAAGAGATCTTATAAATATGATAGAAAGAGAAAAAAAGCCAAGAGGTGTGAATGAAGTAAAAAAAAAAGGAATTACTAACACTTGCAAAATGCGGCGAACTTTTTATGAAGCCCTTGAGGACACAGATACGCCTGATCTCGATATACATATTGATTCTGATTTGTAACTCAGTCATATCACAAATCAGAATCAATACTTGTTTTTTTTTTCATTAAATGATGGATCTCATAGAAGACTAAATATGGTTGTGTTTATATTGTGTAAGTTCTTAAAAAATATTAGAAGAATATGTTGTTTCGCAAAATTTTTCTATTATGTTAATTTTATAAAAAAAAATATTGTTATGTTTCGTCAAATGTTACTAATTAATAAGTATAATTATGTTCGTAAAAATAGAAGACTGTGTTATGTTTCGCTAGATGTTTTTGACTATTAATGTTTTATTTTATAAAAATATTAGAAGACATTGTAATTAATGATTCGTCATTAAAGTTTATGTTATATAACTGTATTTGATTTTATTTACAAAATTTGACAAATAGCTGCCTAATAAAGTATCTACCTACATTAAAACATTTTGTTGGTCTTTTTAAAACACTGTATCATTGGATACAGTGTTATGGCATAATTATTTACCTACTTTTAAACAAGACAAAACACTGTAATTAGTTTTACAGTTTTTTGCATTGTTATAGTTGTACTTAAACTTGGCAACTCTGTCTTGTCAATACAAGTTAATGGCAATATCTTTTTATCTTACAAAAATTATGAAAAATACACTACTTGGCTATGTAGTTAGAGATATATACCTACTATTGAATGTATAAAATAATACAATAATGAACAGTAATCAATAAAAAAAGCAAAAAACATATATCGTCTAAAATCTCACATGTGGTTTTCAAGTTACAGTGTATTGGATTGGCAGGGCAGTGTAGGTACCCAAAATAAGGTTTTCGATTCAATAAATCTTATTTCGGGTACGATCAATTTCATATAGTGAACGTTTGAGGACATAATCAGCAATTCCCAAGATGACTGTTTCGTTCCCAAGATAATAACTTCGTTCTCGAAATGATATTTCTTATGGAAATTTATCAATTAAGGGAATACATAAGATATGTTTAATTAGTATTCAATTAAGTATTGTTTTGCAGGCGAACTTTTTTCTGGTGAATCAATTTTGATGAGTCTTTTTTATTTGAAAGCTGATGCTTCTCATCTGGTCCCAATCCCATATAAATTTGATGAAGATCTTACCGGCAGTTTTTGAGTTATCCTTAATAATGTGTATTTAATTGAATTTGACGATATTCGCATTTTATTTATATTGAAGTTGGTTAACAAATAATTTTACCACTTTTAAAGTAAAATAAATTACAAAAATAATGACCGTGATGTCTCTGATTTGTTTAAAAACACAAACCGTGCAATATCGATTGGTCAAGTGACTGATCAGAGTCTGTATACACGTGGTCCCTGCTACCGAGGGATACTGTTATAAATTATATGTGTATGTGAAAATATCATTTTATTGTTTTAATTGTTACGTATGAGTGTCTTAGTGACAGACTATAATTGTTTTGTGTTCACAAGTTTCCGCCGCAAAAAATGGTAGACTGTATTGTATCGCGAAACAGCGCTATGGCTACTAGTCCGCCGGAGGCCCATGTTGCTCTATGGTTAAGCCAGTCGATCCTAAAAGTACCCATTCAATCTGAAATGTAGTTCCCATCACCAAAGTGCCAAGCCCCACCACTCGCGCAATACTTTTTAAGTTATGATTTTTTTAATTCTAACCTCACCTTTCGTACTTAAATTTCGTCTGACACTTTTGTAGAGAGTAGTGGGAGTGGAGATGGAAAATGACTACCATAATAAACCAACTAACATTATGTAATCGTAGTCCATTTATGTAATTGTGATATTTAAGGAAGCTACCAACAGTTAGTCGTAACGTAGAAAAGTCCCGTCGCAGAACTTTCGCAAAAACATTATCTAACTGCCACTAACGCACGTTTAAATTAATTTATTGCACGACTCGAATGCGAAGCCAAGAGCGCTAGACTCAGATGAAGTGACTAGGTATTAATCTAAAAATCAAAAACCCGAGTTACAGCGCAGCTGTGATTTACAGCGTAAATCACAGCTATACTGTTTTATTAGCATATAAAAATCAATCTAGGCAAGGGAAATTACATTTACAGTTTATTATTATAAAAACAGTTGATTGAAAAAGTTTTGAAACATCACTAACTTGGTCTGTTCGTCGCATCGGTATGAACATACTCGTACTAACTCGCAAACCACTCAGTGGATTGTCTTCACATTTTTATTTACCTCATAATTTTGTTTAGTTGAACGCTCTGTTTTCACTATTGCAGTCATTATTGTTTTTTTTTTTTAATGATTTGTTAAAGTAATGACCGCCATACACATGACATTTAATATGTTAGGCTTTACCTATGACATCGCCGTTTTCTATGAAATAAGTTACCGTAATTTTTTTTAATTTCTATTAATCAAAGTAATCACCCATGCAATCGATGCATCTTTGCCAACTGAGGGCTTCAATAAACTGCCAGTTTATTGATGCCCTTCTTGAAGAAATCAGCTGGACGGGAGGCAACAATTTCTTCAAAAGCATTTTGTATTACCACTCGGATATTGAATTTTTTCCCGCCAAAGAGCTATCAAATTTTTCGGCGAAAGTAGAAGTCTGAAGGCGCAAGGTCTGGTGACTACGGCGGATGACGAACGACGAACTTCCAACTCCAGCTCTTGTAACTTGAACACCTTCTGTTGTGCAGTATGAGGTCACGCGTTGTCGTGCAGGAGCAGCGAGGACAAGCAATTGATCAAAGTCAGTTGGATACGTGCGAGATTCATTGTGTCGAGTTCTTTACAGTACACATCTGCAGTAATGCTGATCCCCTTTGGTAAGAAACTGTGATGAATTGAATCACACCGGCGCTATATTCCGCGTGCACTGATGTAAATGGTTAATAACACGTAAACACAATACTATAGATCTTTACTCCATCTAAAAAAAAGTCCGCGATACCATAATACTTCCTCCTTATATATAAATAAGTGTTTTATAAATCAAAAAATTATTGAAAATTAAAAAGTGATTTATGAGCGTTATTATTAGGCGTGGCATATTAATCGTTAAGAACGAATTTTTCTTCATTATATAGACAATTTTATAAAAATAATCTTTGCTCATTATAGCATATTATTTAGACACATAGTGTAAAAATTAAAATAATTTAACACTCGACTCGGCGCGCGAATTACGCTAAACGCTAACTGCTCGATGAGAACCGAGAGAAACTAGCAGTAGAAATGCTGCAATTAGTTTAAACAATTCTAGATAGCAATGTATGAAAAATTGGCAAAATTAATGGAGTACTTTTATCTATGTACGTCATAGAGCGAATTTAAATTGTATTCAGTCTCCCGTGCATAAAATATAACTTTGCTATATTACGTACATATGCCGATACATAAAAGTACTCCATTTATTTTGGCTTTTTTAGCTATAATGATGAACTATATAAGCGAGTCACCGTGTCATGTCACACAGCTCAGACGCGTGACAAAAACCGCGGGGCACAGCTAGTATTCCATAATTACTCGAAATTTTAACATATCTGTGATGAAGAAAAAGATTCAAATGCGATGAAAACATAATGCTAATCAATAAACAAATGACTAATTTTGAAAAACGAATTCCATGTTTTAAAAAAATATAATTGGAAATTAAAATTGTTAGCCAAACAAAAATTATTTTTATTTGAAATGACCAGTACTGCAGAACGGCTATTTCGTAGGTAAAGACCTATTATAATCCCATATTTTATTTAAAACAACGTAAATACTGATTTTTAAATTGAAATTATTCACCTCGAACCGTAAAAAGGGATAATCTTTTATCACAATCTTTTAGTTTTGATTAGCGTTTAAAGCGTGAACTTTTGGATTTTTTAAATTTTATTTACATAAGTATCTACCTAATTACATTGACATTAATATAATTCGGTTTTGGTCTTGAAATTACTTTACCGCTCAAAACTGCATTGTTGTTTTTAATTATTACTCATCAAAACTCCACTTTTAAACTTTCACTTTATATTGTTATTTTATTGAAAAATTGTTTCCGTGCGATCATCGAAAATAAACCTTAGAGATCGTCGGATAAAGTTCAGCTCAATCACAGAAATAGTAATAGAGTAAGTTCTCTAAATATGGACTACTCGCATAATACGGACCAAAGTAATATTCTGCAAGGTGGCGCTGCTCTCAAATCGAAGTTAGCTGCAATTGGCTGCTATCGAGGGTCTTGCCTCGTGGTGTCTCGTCACTCGTCAGTGAATTGTAGCAGAGATGCATGTGCGAATGTGCCAGCAGCAGACATTTTGAGATTTTAGCGCCGTTTGGTGTAACTTTCGGCAAGCTTTTTAATATTATTATTGCTACAATTACAATCATTATATTTGACTGTCCACATTCTGGAAACGTTATAGTGTGACTAATTATTCATAAAGCATCCCGTAGCTGTATCTATTTTGATATTGCATCATTTTGTAATATGGATCCACGAATGGTTTTAAAAATGGACTAGTGGTCCATATTATGCTGCTACGCCCGTACAGGCTGTCACATGTTCTGTAAATATGTTGTTTCAACTTTATACTTTGTGACATGCAATAAAGAATTATAAATTATGACCCACTGGTCCATATCATAAACCTTGTTCACTTTTTGTTTTAAGATATAAGTTTGTTTTTACAACGCTACCCAAATCTTTCATTTCGTTAACCAACTGGTACATCCATTGCGCGGCTGAAGGGTTTTAACAAAGAAAACGTAAATGCTTTTCTCAAACTATTAGAAGGAGCTATGGATAAGTTAAAGTATACATCAAATAAAAATATACAATGATGATGAGACCGGAATAACTGTGGTGCCTTCAAAAATGTCAGAAATATTGTCCGAAAAATGTAAAAAA